GGGCAAAGCAAAGGGATTTTTGACAGCCTGTTGTTTGGCAAGCTATTTGACTGCAATTCTGTGGGTTATTTTCATTATTCCATAAAGAGTTATTAAATAGGGGGAGGGGCCTGAGGCTGAAGGAGATCATTGAACACTTGTTTGATTATCTAGGGCCTGGCAGGGGAAAGATCAGGGAAAACAGCATTTCAGAAAGAGTGTTCAGCATTCATTGTTTAACACATTGAGCCTCCATGGACTCAAGTGAAACACAGAAAAGGATGATTGTTTCACACAAATAATTTGTAATTTTTTTAGTAGATAAGAGGCATACATTCAAGTTACATTATGTTAAAAGGCACAGCCGTGGCATCATAGAAATACTTAATGAGATATTTTTGCTGATCACTCAATGCTGGCCACTGTACTAATGGAGTTGATCCCTTATTGAGTCATTTACGAGAGTCTCAGGCAAATACCTCAGCATGACCTCAGTATTTTGGGTGTCTGGTAGGAACTGGAAAAATTATTGTTGACTATAAATTGTAATATATTTGAGATGAAAAAACTTTGGAGATCTCCTCTTTTGTCTCACAAATGAGTTCAGTCAAGATTCAGAGAGTTCAAGTAACAAAAGGAAGGTTAGGTAATTGGCAGTCTGGACCAAGTGGGTTTCTGTATTCCAAAGGTCAGTGTATTTTCCAGACAAATGGAGTTTTAAGTCACCTTATTTCTGGTATTTCTGCATAGTGAGCTCTAAAATGTAAGGAAATGTTGATATCTGAGTTGCTGCTTTGAGGTAAATTCATCCTGTCCTTTAACCTCGGGAAGACAAGGTAATGAAGCATTTATTTTTGCTGAATAACTAATAGTGTCATCATTGAGGTGTTCATTTGAAAAGCCTGGCTCTTTTATTAGCTTCTTGGTTGCAGGGCAACTGTAGGAGTATTCTTGTGCATGTGTGCTAAGTACTAACTGCTGATGCCGTTCAAATGTTGCACTAATCCCTGTGGCTCACAATAATAAATGTTTTTAAAAGGATAGATTTAACATTGGCACAAATTTGACTATTATGACATGTTCTTTAGTCTCTCTGTTATCTAAAGAGTGAATGTTTTGTCTCAGTCTGATAGAAATTAAGATGAACATTTTGTTAAGTCTGAGAGAGTAGTTCCAGGCTTAAGTATCTTGGGGCTCTATTGCACAATTGGTTAGGGGACCTTTCTGTCTCTACAAACAGACCCAAGTAGGAAAAAGAGGCTATTATGCAACACACACGCATGTTAGAATTTCTGTTGTTAGCTGCAACTAGAATAAAGTTGGTATTGCTAGCAAATACAGATTTAGGTTTTACTTCCTAATTAAAGATGTGATTTTATAATGATTTTTTTTTTTCAAATAATACTTTCGACAGTCAAAGTAAAATGTCTAAAGTTTGGTCAGTATACTTAATAAGTACATACTTTTAGAGGTACTTTAGCCATATTTTCCTTACTCAGGTGAGCTGGTAGTATGTCACCATTTTACATTTGTTGAACATATTAATGATTTATCCTATTAACTTTAACACAGTTCAGTATGTTTATTTTATTTTATTTTTATTTTTTTTAAAGACAGGGTTTCACCATGTTGGTCAGGCTGGTCTTGAACTCCCGATCTCAGGTGATCCGCCTGCCTTGGCCTCCCAGAGTGTTAGGATTACAGGCGTGAGCCACCGCGCCCGGCCAAGTTCACTATGTTTTAAGCACCTTCAGGCCTTTCAGGATTTATGGTCCTCTTTGGAAGTGAATGTCTACTCTTTCTTGAATGTTAGGATAAACACTTTCTTAAAAGCAATTCTTTTAAAAGATGCCTTTTTTTTTAAATTGATCACAGGACAATAAATTCTGAGGCTACAGGGATTAGTGTATCATTTGAGCAACAACAGCAATTAGTACTAAACACACATGCAGTAGAATACTCCTACAGTTGCCCTGTAAAAGTTTGTGCTTTTGAATCATTTTCCAGGAACAGTGACTGAGTTCTCAGAGAAGAGCACCACCAGATGTCATTTTAGCCTTGTAAATAACGGAGAGTGTTCCTTTGCGATTCTGATAAAGATTAGTTAACTCTGGCAGCCACACAGGCAGAGGGGGTGGAACAGCAGAGGAGAGTTGTCCAACCATGTGAAGGGTGCCATGAGCATTTCCGGACAGACGTTCTTTGTTCAGTGGAGTCTTGATGGTGTTCTTTTTCACTCAAAGTTTATATCATGCTATTATTTGGGGATTCTGAAAATCCTTAAGCATACATGAGAAAACTGTACTGTGCTGGTGGTGTTGATCTTTTTCCCAGCATTAGGCGATTTATGGTCCACTTTGGAAATGAATGTCTACTCTCCTTCTTGCATTGCAAATAAGAGGTAAACACTTCAAAATGATTCTTTTAAAAGATGCCTTTTCTTGAATTGATCACAGGACAGCCATGTATGTGCACAAAAATAATGAGGCCTTCTCCTACTGTGAGAAATTATCTTTGTTTTCCTCTGAGTGCTCAGGAACCTAGAATTGCTTACAAAAATGGAAAACACATTCTGTTTCACCTACACCTTTAAACTGTCATCAATCTCGGAATTTCAAAAGTCAGACCTTGCCGGATACCACATTTCTTCACATTGACTTTTGTTTCACTGTAGGCTAATTTGTCCTGACACTGCAGCTGCAGGCTCTGGGCCGCACAGTCTGTCATTAAGAGTACCAAGAATGGTCTGGAGAGTCGGAGCTGTTGGAAGTTAATTTGGCGTAAACTTCACTTTAAAAGATTTCTCGAGCTATGACATGTCATGTCTATGTGTAGTTACTTACATGTCTGTTTAAGAAGTTCTTGCTTATATTACAAATGTGACCTTTACAGTTATCTTTCAAAGTGCCCAGTGCTTTGAAGAGGAACCCTGAGGAGCTGAGGAGATATTAGACTTGTTAAGCATGTTTCATAGGAATGTCAGTGTCCATTTGAATGTCCTTCCTTTTTTTCTTTTTCTCTTTTTAATCATACAGCAATCCTGTCAGCTGGTAGCAGATTACAGTATTGGAATCTTGTGATCTAAGTAATCATGGTAATCAAAGTTCTAGCTCCACTTTTAATAACCAAAGTCAGTTATTGAAAGTTTTCTCTTTTGCAAATAAGAAAATCCCTAAGCCCTTCCAACTCGAAATTCTGTAAACTTCCTGGTTCACATATTGGTTACTGACTTTGAAACCCCCTAGATCAAGAGTCAACCATATTTTCCTGATGAAGAGTTTGATGTCCTCTTCTGTATTTAGACAGTCAAGAGGACACAGGAATAGAGTGCAGTTCTCTGACTTACATTTAGCATCTAGGAAATCTTGCCAACCAGCATGGGCACTAGCTCGCTCTGGAGACTGATCACATTTAGTGCCTTTAGTGACCCCTTTACTAGGTGGTAACTGCCGCGGTACACAGACCATCATCATAGTTGATGTAACACAGCAGTCCTGTTGGTCAGAGAATTATCCGTGCTGCCCTCTGAGATTTGCCCATGCCTCACAGGCACGAATTTATACCTAAGCCATTTGGGTGTGCGTTTCAGATTTGCCCTTTATGTTCTTCTGACGACTCTTTGAGACAAAGTTAAAGATTATGAACCTTTGCTTGAACTGACTGGTGTCATGGCAACTAGCACTTCACCTTTTGCTGGTCTCTACCTCATACATGCTACAATATTTGTGCACATTAATAATTCATTGCAAAGTGCCAGATTTCTTTGTGCTGTCAAGCAGTGTCAAGGACAGAATATGCTGTGCTATCTCAAATGTCATCTACCAGACTGTTGAGGGCAAGAGTAATTAGAAAAGAAAACTAGTCAGGTTACTTGGGAAAATTCCTGAAAATGTGATGCTTTCTAGTCACCCAACTATAGCATTTTTCTTGCAAAGTATGGACTAGAATTCATGTTGATCAAAGTTTGTTTAATAATGCGCCCCAGACATAAGGCAGGAGTTTGGAGTAATTGCTCGCCTCTATTCAGGCAGCAAAGGAAATGATTAACAGCCTTCGTGCTCAGTCACGTGTACTGGGCTGCAGCAGGAACCTGAGCACAGGCTTAAAAGAAACCCAAGTGGTCCTCATGTGGGTGCTCCCACCCCAAGCCTCTGCCTTTGCTCGACCAGAGCAGAGCTGAGTAAACGTTTGACACCAGCTTTAGAAACAAGCCCTCTGGGATCTCTGATTAGCTGCCCTGGATAGCTTTCTTAGTCCCTCAGTTCCTTCCACAGCTCTTTGGTGGTTGTTGATGTTGTGAGTTGTTGTTACAGTAATTACAGTGTTGCCTGTAATTGGCGAACCTTTCAAATAAAGAATATGGGTCTTTGTCTGAAAATATAGAAAATGCAAAGATACATTAGATTTAATTTATACAGAAGGCCAAATTTGTCCTTGATTAGGCAAAGAAATCACGTTTTAAGCTGAATATTGACCCACCTGTGCTTACAAAAGAAAGCAAAACAAAACAAATAATCTCCCTCTCAAAAGAAAGCTTCATATTACAACCAGCTAACCTGTGTCATACTTTAGTCTTTAAAGTTGGAACATATTTCCCCAAATGTTTATAGCCCACAATTGGAAAAGATTTTATTCACATAGCCATACCTGGATTGTTTGGTTTCTCTTTCTCCCTTCCTCTCCCTACTTACCTGCCTCCTCTTTCTCTGTCTCTCCCCCTAGCCCTTTTTTTGTTTCCTTTTCCTTTAAAGCAGTAACTTAACTCCTCTTCAAAAAACTTGGGGGTGGGGGGAGGGTTCCACGGGGGGATCCCACAGGGGGAAGTGTTTCCCCAAATCACATTTTTTGGAATATGCAGCCAACGTACCCTCCTTATGGGCAAACTGGAACTATTTTATTTAAGCTAATACCACCAATTCATTTCAGGGCAAAAAGGGGAGGGGACATTAATCAGTTTCAGAACCTTGCAACAAATTACACTTAAAGAACAGTTAGGAACTTGTTAATCTTCTGTCACCTACCTTGATGTGGTGCTGGGGATCTGGATTAGTCATTTAACACCTGCAGGCAAGACCAGAGCACGTTAATACAGGGAAGTCATGAGAGCCAACCTGCTGTGGTATCTGAGTTTCTAGTCAGAGCCAGCCACTGGCTTGAGTTAGAGTGGACACGTGAGCGAGTGATTCAGATTTGTCAGGTAACCAAGTGGCAGGTTCTAAAAGGAATTTGATATTTTTTGTTTGTTTGTTTTGTTTTGTTTTTCCATGAGACATCCCAGTAGGGAATTTGATATTGGATGTAATTTCTTAGGATTTAATATTGAGTCCTTATACTTTAACTTTTTAAACAGAAAGATAACTAAGACCCTTTATGTTAAATTTATCACTGTCTTCCAAGACTAGGTAAATTTTCAGTACTAAAAAATTAGTTAATGTCTCTCTGGTTAATGTCGAGAATATGTTTTGTTGTTGTTTTTTAGCAACTTGAATTCAAATATACTCCAAGAAAGAATATGTTTTATGCTTTTTAGCTAATCTGGGAACAATTAATCATAACTAGATATATTTAAAAAGACATAGAGGCTTGGTTACTTAAGGATATGTTTTCTAGTTTTTTGAACCAGGGTCTTGCTCTGTCAACTAGGCTAGAGTGCAGTAACATAATCACAGCTTACTGCAGCCTCAACCTCCCGGGCTCCCAAATAGTTGATACTACAGGCACACACCACCATGCTCAGCTCATTTTTTTGTATCTTTTGTAGAGGCAGGTTTCACCATGTTTCCTAGACGGGTCTTAAACTCCTGGACTCAAGTGATCCTCCCACCTTAGCCTCCCCCAAAGCTTGGGGATTACAAGTGTGAGCCACTGTGCGCCGCTATTTTCTAGTTTAGATTGGAACATATAAACTCAATTGTGATGTTACTTTATTTCAATTCTGTGATATAATACCCATGTATAACTTACAGAGCCTCAAGTTGAACCCATAATAACCTGAAGTACCAGTTTTTTACTTTTTTGGTAACAGATCAAAATAATAATTACTGTCATAATTACTTTCTGTTTTCACTACTACAAAGAGATACAGTCAAGCTGAAACATGTGTCTCTTCCTCAGCAGTGTACTAGGGCAATGCAGCAATGAGAAGTGTGTTCATTTGCTGTATTAGTCTGTTCTCCTACTGCCATACAGAAATACGTGAGACTAGGCAGTTTATAAAGAAAAGAGGTTTAATTGGCTCAGGGTTCTGGGGCTACACAGGAAGCATAGAGGTTTCTGCTCCATTTCTGGGGAAGCCTCAGGGAGCTTTCAATCACGGTGGAAGGCAGAGGGGGTGCAGCAGCACACGAAGCAGGAGGAAGCAAGGGGATGGGGCCTGCACACATTTAAACAACCCGATCTCGCAAGAACTCACTCATTATCACTAGAACAGCAGCAGGACATGTTGCTGAACTATACATGAAAGATCACTCCTGTGATCCAGTCACCTCCCACCAGGCCATACCTCCAACATTGCGGATTACAATTGAGATGAGATATCCAAACTGTAGCACTAGCTCTCCTCCACAGTGCCTGTCTCAGTGTAGCAAAGTAATTCTCCCTTAGTACTTGGAAGACTGATCTGGGTCTTCCAACTTAGTCTAGGACAGTCAGACAAATAAGTATAAGACAATCAAAATCAAAATACCATAAAACATAATCATGTGTCAAGGTGAATGGCAGTAACCACTGACTAAACATCTTAGAGAAATATAGACAAAGTGAGGCTGGCCTAGAATAATATTAGATAAAGTTTAACACCCTAACTACCTTCAATAAAGAATTATTAGGAGACTCCAGCGACATAAAGCACTTTGAAAAGTATGACAGACTATATAAATACGTGGTGAATATTACTCTTTGGTTTACATAGGAAGGGTTTGGGGTAGATTATCAGAAGAGTTCATACGTCAAAAGACACGGGTGAAAATAAGCATTTCATGGGTACTGGTGAGGAAACTCAGATGGTGTAAGTTGAGGTGGGGTGCTACATAGTGTCTGGGAAAGACCTCGGGATACTTCACAAAAGATTTCATGTGGCATCTATATGAATAATTGATGGGAGCACACAAAAACATCAGAATCAATGGAATTTGTGTTTTCGATCTTTACACACAAAAATTATACCAGATTAGACAGGGGCAAGGGCAGTAGCTCATGCCTGTAATCCCAGCACTTTAGGAGGCCGAGATGGAAGGATCACTTTAACCCAGGAGTTCAAGACTGTCCTGGGCAACATAGTGAGACCCCCTTCTCTAAAAAAGTTAAAAATTAGCTAGGCATGGTGACATGCACATGTAGTCCCAGCTACTCGGGAGGCTGAGGCAGAAGGATCACTTGAGCCCAGGTGTTCGAGGCTGTAATGAGCTATAATTATGCCATTGCACTCCAAACTGGGCAACACCGCAAAACCCTGTTTCTCCACGCCCCTCCAACCGCCAAAAAAAACTACAAACCCAAATTAGATTCATGCAAAAACTCAGTGTTACCTTAGCCAGCAAATCGTATGAGACAGGAATGCAGCTCTTCTTTAAGTCTGCTCTGTAGTGTTTGGTTGTGTGGGTTTTTTTAACTTCATAAATCATGGGAAGCTGTGCTGGCAGTAGGAGATAACTCAGCAGTAGACAGATTGCTCTTTGCTGCTTTCTTTTAAGAAGCAGGTTATAAAACTGTTGGGAGCCTGGTAGAGTAGTTAATAGATCATTGTAAGCAATTTGAAGTAAGTTTTTTTTGATACACCCTTGCATTTTGTAGGCAAGCGAGCTAGAGAGAAAAGAGTTTAGTGAATAAGAAATCAGTGCCACCTCTGATTTTGTGCCACACACTCTGCCTCCCTGTGTGGCCAGTCACCTGCATCTATGGCAGAGTCCCTGCAGTGAAACCCATATTGGAATGTGACTCTTCAGAATGATACACGTTCTTGTCAGTGCACAGTTAGTATTATGACATGTTTTTCACCAAAATAGTTCTATAATTTACCCTGTTTTTTACATCGTAAAATACTTTGTTTCCTGCTAGTACACTTTGGTAATAAGCCTTGGGACCCTAGAGGACGCTGCTGGCGTATCTCTTCATTGATGGGTCTATTACTAAGTAGACATCACCATAAGGCACACATTAATACAAGGCACCTGTTTGTAACAGGCTGTGGTCCTTCACAAACCATGAGATAGCTGCACTGAAGTGTCATGAGAAGAAACAAATCTCTGGCCTGGGAGTACTTTAAATTAGTAGATAACTATACTTGAAAGGTGATTAAGAACCTTCTGCCAATAGCTCTCTTCATCTCTAGACAGTGCCCCCAAAAGCTCTTATGTTACAGTCTTGTTGGTCACAACTTATAATAGGCTTGCCATGCCAAGTTAGTCAGACACTTAAAAGATCTTCTTTTTGATAAATGTAAAATATCTTTAAAGGAATTGGGAAACGTGACATCATGTGGCTAAAAATTGGTTTTGTGATCCTGGATTGTGTTTTAGATGAAATTCATGACATCAGTTCTAAAACTTGAATCTTACTTTGTTTCAGACCACTAAGGCTTTTCTTCCTACGATGCTGGAGATTAATCATGGTCATATTGTGACAGTTGCAAGTTCCTTGGGATTGTTCAGTACTGCCGGAGTTGAGGTTTGTCAGATATGTAGCATTGCTTTCATTCAATCTGTTTATCCTGTGATAAGTACATCAGAACCTCCAGGAGAGCATCTGCTGCCCCTCCATTCACGAAAACTGCACGAAGATGCTCTGCATGTGTGCCGCATGTAGGATGTTCCAGAGGAACCCAGGGCCAGCCACTAGAATGGAATTCTAAGCCAGTTGTGGTGGTGCACACCAGTAGTCCTAGCTACTTGGGAGGCTGAGGTGGGAGAATCGCCTGAGCCCAGGTGTTCAAGAGTGCAGTGAGCTATGATGGCACCACTGCATTCCAGCCTGGGAGACAGAGCAAGACCCTGTCTCTAAAACAAAACAAAAAAAGGGAATGGACTTCTACATCATCTGCCATAAAATCTCTTATACTAGTTTGACAAAGCAGCAGCAACAAGAGAAGTAGATGGGCCAGCCCTCAGTGTGCCGGTTTTCATTAGCAGCTTCGCTTGATGATGGTGGAAGTCACAGGGCCAAGAATTGAACCATGGAAGGCTGCAGGGAACAGAAGAATGAGGCCAGAGGTTCACATTCGGTTGTGGTCACCTTGCTAAAATTGAGCTATCTTGTATTAATTAGCGTATCAGATGAGGTGGTCAGGTATCCTGCATTATAAGTTTGTAAAATTATAGAACTGGGTTTCATCAAACCTTGTTCTTCACCATATTCAAATTATAAGGCATGTTTATGTATACTGTTCTATCCTGTTTGTCCTGTGCATGCCTGTAAAACTGAAACATCACTCCATGCAAATATGCAAAAGGATACATTATTTAAATAGCAGCTACATCAAGGGATTCATTTCTAAAGTTGGGCCATGGACAAAGAAATTTTTTTCTATATTGTGTGCCCTTAAGTTCTAGTTTAAGATTACAAGGCATGGTTATCATTTTCATTTTAACTTCACCGTAAAAAGAAAGTCAAATCATAACAATTTATAGCCTAAGCTAGATTTGCCTTTGTTCTTCTTGCATTAATTTAAACAAACTGGTTTTTCTTTCTTCTTTACTGAACAGGAGACCATTTGTAAATTTTCCAGATACTTCAAAGTGAGCCTCTCTCCATTTTAACTTCAGGTCATTAGCTTTCATAGAATCCTTAACTTCCCCAAAGTAATATGATACTTAGTTGATGTGGCAAAAAGTATTCATCTGTTTCTGCTGTTGCTTTGAAAATATTATTTCTGCACTGAACCACATCAGGTATCTGTCTTTTTTTTTTTTTTTTGAGATAGAGTCTCACTCTCGCCTAGGCTGGAGTATAGTGGTGTGATCTCGGCTCACTGTAACCCCAGCCTCCCAGGTTCAAGCGATTCTCCTGCCTCAGCCTTCTGTGTAGCTGGGACTGGAGGCATGTGCCCACCAGGCCCGGCTAATTTTTGTATTTTTAGTAGAGGTGGGGTTTCACCATTTTGGCCAGGCTGGTCTCGAACTCCTGACCTCAAGTGATCCAGCCGCCTCAGCCTTCCAAAGTGCTGGGATTACAGGCGTGAGCCACCACACCCAGCCAGGTATCTGTCTTTTAAAATGATTTTCTTGTCTTTGTGTAGTCACCTGTAACCCTATGTATTATACATTTAACCATAGTAATAGGACCAGGGAAGCTTCAGTTTGGTTGGGGTTAGGGGCATATACTTAGTATTTCTGCTTTCTCCCCTCTCTAACTCAGGATTACTGTGCCAGTAAATTTGGAGTTGTGGGTTTTCATGAATCCCTGAGCCATGAACTAAAGGCTGCTGAAAAGGATGGAATTAAAACAACCTTGGTTTGCCCTTATCTTGTAGACACTGGCATGTTCAGAGGCTGCCGAATCAGGTCAGTGAGAACCTACATTATTACTAATAAAAAGAATAATCTTGGGAGAATATGTGGAATTGGACTTTCAAACATAGCCTTACTATCATTTGACCATCTGTGGCTTTCATTGGTCAAGATTTGTAAAGTTTGTA